AAATAATGAGTGGACAAACGTGGACAAACAGTGGACAAACGAATGCAATAATGATTTTACCAAAATTTACATTTAAGGATGCTGACTTCTCAGAGCAGCTCTAAGAAGTCGGCACCCCTAAATGCGAATTTTGATAAAATCATTATTGCATTCGTTTGTCCACTGTTTGTCCACGTTTGTCCACCCGTTATTTTCATTTGTCCACCCCCCAAAAAAAAGTTATACACAAAAAAAAATTATAGTACCCCCAAGTGATTATTTTTCATTATTATGAAAAATATAATAATAATAGGGTGGACAAACGAAAATAATAGGTGGACAAACGTGGACAAACAGTAGACAAACGAATGCAATAATGATTTTACCGTTTTTCAGTACACAATCGGTACATTGCCAGGAGTCAATGCTGGTTTATGGTATTCTGTTCCCACTTGGGAAGGTTTTAATTTTTATTTTTGTTATATTTAATTATTTATTTGCGTTGTGAAATATTGTTCATTTAAAATTTTTCCTTTCTTAATATATTTTTGTAAGTAGGAAACTTTTACTGATCCTTATCGCGTAAAATTTATTCGCCTTGATTGCGTAATGAAAAAACAATGGAAAATAACGAAATAATCGCATATCAAATTACTATCTAATTTCTAATACCGAATGACAAAGTTAGTATTAGTTAATATCTGTTTATATAAAACGAACTCTTAATCTCTATACAGATGATTTCCTCATCTTGCGATTCTTGCGAGTTTGCAAATTCAATCTCGGAAAAACTAAAACCAGAATGCAAAACTTTTATAAGCTGCAATCGGACTTACCGGAATGGTTTTCAAATAGAGATCCGTTTAAACCAGAATTACAAGAGTTAATTAATATGGGGTAAAGATTACCATATTTTTATTCTTAAAGTATACAAATACACAATTTAAAGAAATAATTATCGCGCGGTGAAATATCGCATTAGATTATCTAATTCACAATAATAATTTATTGTGTAATTTTAGAAATTTTCGCACTGTAATCATTATTATCATTGACTTTTTTTTTAATAATGCGGTTATGTTAACAGCATTATGTTTAACATCATTGATGAAGATTCAATCATATGTTAATATACATGTATGTTCATTATAATAAATAATAAATTACATTACATGTTTTATTAACAATTTAAATTTGATTTCAATGAGTGATCGATATATGGCATGGGTTTCACTATACTTTTTTCTATTATGATTTAATAGGAATAAAAATATTTTACTAAATATTTTACTAACAAATAAGATCTTTCTTGCATAATTACACACATCGATGTGAAACTATACAGAGAAAAAATTTTCTTTGAATTCAGTATTCTTGTTATACTAAAATTTGTTTCATTAAAACAACATATGCTTGCACAAAACATTATTTGTTTAAATAAAAATTTTGTTGTTTTATTTGAAAAACATGTACTTTTTGTCAAAAATAACGTTATGATTTGAAGTAATATATTATTTGATTACAATGAATACGAAAAATGAAATAATTTATTTATTTGAAAATGGCAAATTATATCGATTGAAATTATTCCATGCAAACATTTACTTTCTTAGAACAAACATTGCATTTTTAGTCGCAATATCTAATCTGTACCGTGAGAATTTAAACCAATAAAAATCGATGAGAACATGCCGCAACGATCAAACAATCAAACTAGATCTCGGATGCTTCTATATAATTGATTCTTGATGTTAAAAAACTATATACGTAGTACATAAATTCACACGCAATTATATTTTTAATATTAAAACTTCACATACGTAGTATATAAATTTACAGGCAATTATGTAGAAGCATCCGAGATTCAGATTGACCGTTCGGCATATTCTTATCGGTTTTAGTTGGTTATGTGTTAATTATATTAATCGCGTTTTTGTCGTACAATTGGTTGCGCGAATATCGAAAATAGATATTGTTTCTTCAAACTAATAAATATACTTCAGACAAAATACAAATTTAAAAAAAGGTTTAAAATATATATTTCAAGATCGTTTCAAGACCGAAGATTGTTCGGCGCGCAAGTTGTGGGGGGGTGGGAGGGGAATACATATATTACTTTGAATAATATATTGCGAAGAATATTACTACGTCGACCCGCCATCAGAGATCTATAGATATTCGCTAAGATTCTCGCAAGTGCTTTGATACGCGTATATCTGTATATATAGAATCTCGATTTAATAACTAAAACAGGCGTCTAAGGTAGGCTTCCACTACAATGCACTGATGAGTCCAGTAGTGGAAGTTGGGACGAAACGCCATAATTACGTGATATTCTTCACAATATATTAGACTGATTTAAAGATTTTAACGAAAATTTTCTCATTGCTCTTATTTCATTATATTAGTTGTAAAATATATATTGTTTCAAATATTCAAAAAGTTATATTTATTAAATTAAATATTGTTTTGTTTGAACCATTTCAAGTAACAAATTCATTTGTATACAATAAAATTTATTAAATTAAAAGAAATTTTTTCTTTGTATAACAGTAACACTAATTTTTTCAAAAAATTTCTGAAATAAATAGTTTATATCCGTTCAGGTTAATGTTGCCATTGCGAAAACCGGATAGTCAAGGCAGATTGGTTGTCATTGGGCGCATGACTTTACAAAATCCGAGAATACACAAATTATCAGATATTATTAAGGTATAAATTAAAATAGCGTTAAAATTGCAAATAACTTATTATACAATCAATGCGTTTGAGATAGACGACATGAAAACATATTTCTAATTGCTCACCATTTCTTGACGAATAATCATTTCAGATCGGTCTAATGACGGCAGAACTGGCGATGAAGAATCGCGCTATGGCTACATCAGCATCTCTGTATGGTGTAACGGTGATCGGTGACACGTTCAATCCAACTATACATCATATATTTCAATTTGGACCCTCCATACTAAAGAAAATAGTACATACATGGCAAAACTGTTATCCTATAAGGCTGCAATTGATAAGCGTAATCAATGCACCAATATTTATAGATATTACTATAAAGATTTTTAAATCTTTCATGTCAGAAAAATTGAAGCAGAGATTACATGTCTATCCACACATGCTGCAAAGTTGTTTTAAAGATATTCCAACTAACATCTTGCCAGTCGAGTATGGTGGCAGTGATGGTACAATTCAGGAATTAACAGGTACCTATGACCAATTTAAATGAAATAAATGTGACATCTTCAGTGAATAATACGAGATGTTTCTTATCAATAAAATATAATATTATCAAAAGAAAAAGGAATTTTTCACAGTTAAAGCAAGAAATTGATGAGATAACAATCGCAAAAGTTAAGAATTTATGGAATTTTAATATGGACTTATACGAAATACTCGTTTAGACATTAAATTAGTGTAAGCATTTCATTCAAGATATGTAATTTAAACAATTTCTTTTACAGATTATTGGAAGAAATTGTTGGAAGAGAATCGTGATTGGTTTATAAGTAATATGAATAATTAAATTGAGTAATTAATACGTTGAGAATGGCGAATAAGAGTCAATCTAAATCTGATAATATATTCTAATATTCTATATTGCGAAGAATATCACGTAATGTTTGGCGTTTCGTCCCGGCTTCCCGGCTTAAATTGAGTAATATTAAGGAACAATGTATTTATTATCATAATATATGTTACACTTTGTTTGTTTATGAGGTTAACGAGGAAAAAGTTACCATTTTTTTCTTTGTTACTAGAAATTAGTCAATTATATAATACAAAAAATGTATATGAAAGCATTTTTAGAAGAATAGTACATAGTACTATTATTAAACATATATAATATAATAGGAATAAAGAATTTAATAGAATAAAAGAATCTAGTTCGTTAAATATTTTTTTATATTTATTTCATTTACATGTGTTTCTTTTACATGTACAATTAAAATGCAATGATATGTGTAATATATTAAATGAAAATATGTTTCTTTCAATACAAATAATTATATTGATTGTGTTTAATTTATTACTTTATCTTCAAACGATGTTTGAAGATAAAGAACCGTTGTGATAAATAAAAAATTGAGTACACAACAGAAGATAGAGAACACTTTCGAACACGTTCAAAATTGCACGATTCAAAACTTGATGAAAAATCATCGCAAACAAAAAAACAAAATGCATTTGAAGTAAAAGAGGTCATTTTTATTTCGACGTTGAATAACTCGATGAAAAAAAATCGTACAAAGGAAAAACACAAATTATAGAAAAAGATTCAGTCTTTTGAAAGCTGTAAACCGCATTTGTGCACTATTTTTAATTCGCGCCGAGCAAATTCCGTATAAAATTTTAAGCTTTGATGCATTTTTGTTTGTGCAATTTTAAGAAATATCTACACAAGACCGTTTTTTATTTTAATAGTTTTGTTATTGTTATAATGTCATTACGCAACTTTCTTATCGTATATTATATATGTGCAACGATGTTACAACGATAACATAATTGTCATTAATATTCGTCTCTATAGATTAAATAAAAATATGATGATAGGAGATCTAGCTTGATCGTTGTTCTCAACGGTATTTATGACAGAATAAAACTCTCGAGATTAAAATTAAAAAATAATTACCTTCGCAGTTTACACTCACTTCCATTCATTTAATTATTTCATATATTAACTTTAATATAAATACTTTGATTTAAGTGACTTCTAATTTTTTCAAACTTGAAAAAATAAAAAATTTAAGGAGTAAAAAATCAAAATTTGAGTTAATCTACTTTGGTGGAAATAAATATAAGAGTTACAGCGTGCGAATGTGTCTGCTGCTTTTTCGAACTTCTTGTTTTATCGATCAACATTTTCTCTTTTTCTTTGTAACATGGAGGAAAAGGAGAAGAGATTAATATTTTCTACAATTATTGAAAGAACAGGTTTCTATTTCTAGTTTATATATCATCGTCATTACATTACATAATCTACTGCAGATGGCGCAGTTATCTCGTTAGAGAAACGAAACTCCAAAGAGCACGTAAATTGCAAACAGTACATATGATACCGTGTTGCTCTTA